AGAAAAATTAACTCTATCCCAGCCAAAACCAGGACAAGAGGCCACAGTCTATTGCACCTACATGTCTTGCTGGGTCAAGCAAAGATACTCGATCTCAGCCCACACAACTCAGTTTCTTCCTCACTACCTAACACCATTATCGTTGGTAGTTACTGCTGCTTTAGTCAGGATTAATCAATACTAAGATTAATAGTTTTTTCATAGAGGCAGATGTGGAGGAAGGATGAGACCCCATTTTGGACTTACGAGGACTACATGTGTTCATACATAAGCTCAGTTCAGGATGGTGATGGAGGAGATCATCCCAGCTCTACAGAGAGGAGAAGGACTTTTGTCTCTTGAATTCAAGGATACCTTATTCTACATCTCAGTCAAAACAGATAACAGGAGGTATGTCTTGTGGTAGAAACAAACCCATTCCGGTTCAAAAGTCGCTTGCTTGACTTCTGTACAGATCTGAGGTTTTTCATAGGGTACCTGGCCATCATAGTAACCCAACTTGGGTGAAAGTATCTGCTTTTGTTACCCAAGTGACTGAGTAATTAAAAGCAGGTTAATCATTCCCTTCAGGTTATCTTGGGGCTTTTTAGCTTTGGACAGTTAAACTGAGTCAATACCCTGCTGTTTTTTGGGAGCGAGTCTTCCAGACCTACCCTCTGAGGAAATTTTGCTATCCTATACACACTATTTTCTCACATCAGGCCCAAGTGTCATTGTCCAAATGTAAGGTAGTCTGTCTACATGTGACAGCCTTCTCCTATATGGCTTATTACAAGTTTTGCCTTAATCCTTCTAGATGTTGCTACATCCTTTGTGTTCCCTTTCCCACCAGATTGCATTCTGTCAGCACTGAAGTTACTCATTTCATCTCTCGCGATGCTGTCTGCTCCACAGTGCTGATTAGTACAGAGAAGTTGGAAAGTCCTTGTGACCATTCCTGGTGTATTTCCATGGACATTATGTCCCAGTGACAACTGGCGTCACTGCAATGTAATCAATGAGAGGTTTATGCAGGGACGCAGTCTCTCTGATAATCTGATTCACCTATCAGTGTTCTCCAGGAATACCCGAGAGAAGACCTCAGACTCCTGAGTTGTAGGTTGGAGAAGTGACTGGGGATATCCTGAGAAGCTCAGGCCCTTGCCCTGGCTCTGTGAAAATCCCTGTAGGTTCTGCTTAAGCTGAGGATCAGTCTATAGCACTCCCTGTAGGAGGATGCCTTTCTAATTCACCAGCTGGAGGAAGCTGATGGTCTTTGGAAGGTAAAGGCAGAGGCTACACGCATGACTCTGACCTGCCTCTGACAAAGGGATTTGTGTTTCCAGGATCCATTGAACTTGTTGGCATGAGACCCCCGAGGCTTTTCCTCTCTTCAGGAAATTGCAATGCATGTGGCACTCCTTGGAAACACCAAGGATTTGAAAAGGCTTATTGATGGTCAAAGGCAGAAAACTTCACTGTAACCAGAATAGTCTTGGGATGTGTAATCTACACATGCCTCTGTTTCCTACCTACTCCGCTTTTTTCTGTACCATAACCTATTGATAGATTATTGCTGCAGTCATCCTAAATCTCCCATCCTATGACAGGAGATTTCAAGATTTTTTCTGTAGTCCAGGGTGCTTTTGATTTGGAGAGGAGATTGAGAGAACCAAAGATAGAAGGCATGCTCTGTTCTGTGTGCCCATGTGCCAGCACAGCACAAGGAACCATGGTGCTGTCAGTGGGCACTGGTAAGGCTAAAAGAATACAGCTTCACATGCTTATGGTGCAAGGTTTCTTAATGTTTAAGCTTGTGTGTGGACTGTATATCTTGAGGTATTCCACTTACTGGGGATTAGTTCTTTGGTTTACATGCTTAACACGTACCACTGAGAAACATGGCAAAGGCATAGAATAACTGGCAATGAGAAATCCATAAATGGGAAAAAAGAAAAAAAAAAAGGTCCAATGAAACTGAAAGAATAAAAAGACAAATCAGTCTGAATAATTAGCTTTCATAGGTATTGTAGAGGTTAGATTAATAAGCAAAATTATCTATATAGATGGCAGCATGTGCTGATTTATAGCACATAGTATTTTTTAGTAAAATATACCATCCCTTTTACATAAGAATTTCCCCAGCCATTAGCTGATAGTATGTAAAGTATTGGCTGACTACAGACAGATTATTTTAGGATGAATTTTTTTGCATGTCTTTAAAGTTTCTTGACAAGAACTGTCCTCAGAATCTGGGTACAGCTTTAGCTGTTTTTATATGTGTGACAATTCCAATGCAGAATAAGCCAGATGACTAAGATTTCAGCTGAGACATTGTAAGGGTATGAGTAGATGCTGTGTCTGTCCCAAGACTCTCAGTAAGCAGCTAAACAGGCAAAGATGAAGAAAAAAGAATAATGACTTGTTTTCGTGAGAAGTATAAAATAACAATGTGTGTTGATGGAATGGTTTAGAGAGTCTCAAACAAAAGTATCTTTGAGGTTCTCCTCCTCAAATTTTAAATGAGTTAGAGGCTAGAAAGTATTATTAGAATTATGAATCCTTTCTTACTTTCAGGAAATTTATTACTAGATTGACTGTAGTCTTACAGGAACACACAAAAAAAATCAAACAATATTTTCAAAATTAGTTATAAAATTAGATATATAAATATTTATCTAGAAGTCTGAGTATTTGCCCTTCTTTTCAGCAGTGCTAAATACAGCTCTCATTGAAATCAACTTTAAATCAGTTAAAATCTCTTTCAAAATGGTACTGGTTTAGCTTTGTAATTTTGCACTATGATATGAAATTTTCTCATCTGCTCTCCCTGCCTAGGCTATAGCCTATCAGCGCCATTAATATTAAAATACCTTGATTAAAGTGTGACCACTATAGCGTTGTAAAATGGCCTTAATTGGTTCTTTGCCTAGAAGAATGCTTCCCTGAAAGGTATGATGTTCATAGTAGCTTCTTTACTTTAGTCAGCTATTGGTAGAAGTGCTGTGATTAATTTTACATCCTTGGTTTCAGATAAAAATTCAGTGAGATTGTCACAATATGCAGGGGTCACCCATCCTTGGGTGGAATAATTTGCTGGAGTGCCCAATAACGTTAAAAATAGATATGAGTAAATACTTAAGGATTTAATGCACCAACAGGCTACAAAGCAAGAGAAGGTGTCACAGTTTCTGAAGGTGAGGCATCACCAGAACTGCCTGAAATACAGCTTCTGTGGTGGGTAAGAGTAATACAGCTGACATGGTTTACCTGATTTCCAAAAGGCTTTGAAAAAGTTCTCTACTAAGGCCCTTTAAGGGGCATATTAAGCGGCTACAGCATAAGCAGCAAGTACCTGCATGGAGGAAAAGAAAAAAGGCTGTAGTGTAACAAATAGGGTAGAGGTAAATAGTCAGCTCTTGCAATGGACGAATGGTGGTTAACCAGTGGTACTCTGATATATTTGATACATATTTATACACATATGTGTATAGACATGTATAAATGTATATTATACTAGATATATTTACATTTAATGTTTTAATATGTGTATATATGTATATATAAATAAAAATTATACATATATGCACATATATAAATGATCAGGAAAAGGGCAGGAACAGTAAGGCAAGCGTGCTGATAATAACTACAAAAAAAGCTATTCAGGATAGCAAGGATGAAAGAAAGTTGAAAAATTACACAAGGACTTTATGAGGTTGAGTAATTGCGTAATAAATTAGTAAATTAAAATCAGTGTAGTTAAATGTAAAGTGAGGCACCTATGAAAAAATTATTCCTAACCTCACATATAAAACGATGAGCTTTTAACTGACCATTACAACTCAGGAAATTGCTCTTGAGATTACGAAAATGTCAGCTCAGTAGCAGTCACGAAAAACAAAGTGAGAAAGAGCAAAATACAAAATGTCATTATGTCACTATTAATCTTGTCCATGCCTTTAGTGCTGTATTCAGGCTGGTCCTCTCATTTCACAAACACATATAGTAGAACTGGAAGAGCTGCAGAGAAAGGCTAGAAGGAAAACTACAGGTATGGAACAGTTTCCATTCAAGGAACAACTGAATTGGATAGTATTCTTCAGTGTGGAAAAGGGACATTTTAAGTAGGATACAACAGATTTGCAAAATCACCAGGGAACTGGAGAGAGTGGATAGGAATCAGTTGTTCACTCTCCTCTCCAAGACAAGACCTAGAGGCTATTGAATGAGTCTAGTAGGAACCAAACTGAAAATGGAAAACAATAAAAAAAGTGGTTCTACACCAAAGAGGTATTAGAGGTGTGGAACTACTTAGCAGAGGTTGTTTTGGATGCTTTAGGCTTACACAGGTTTAAGGAAACACCAGACAAGTACTTGGGAGATAAATCTATTAAGAATTACTGACCACATAAAAAAGTATGTCTAGTTTGGGAGAAGCCTTGGGCTCAAAAAAATTGGAGACTGGTAGAGAAGCTGGAAAAAGGTATCTCATATATTTGGCCTGTTCTTCCTCTTCCCCATCCTTGTCTGATTTTGGCCATTGTTGGAGACATGATACTGGACCAGACAAAACTTCCATCTGGTCCAGTGTGGCCATTCTTGTCTTCGTAATCTTGGATAGGTAGAACTCTGTATCTAATCTCATTGGTTTTGTAGTAAAATTTGTAATTTTTTTTTACTGAAACTGCTAAAATGGCCCATTTTGAAAGAAGTATCATATATATTTCTTGATGGAACTTTCCTTACCACGCATGTGGCTGAAGCAGAGTGGTGCTTTTTTCTGCTGGCATCCAGAGCCATACTCACTTGAAACAAAAAGATTAAGGAACTTTTTTTGGAGATTTTTCTGCTGGGGCATGCACTGGGAGGTGCTCATATTTTGTAATATTCTAAGGTTCCCTTTTCAGACTCATGAGACCATGGTTAATTTGAGCTTCTAGCGCATAGGAATTACATGATTAATTGCTTTGATAATTTTTAAAGTTCGAGTGCAGCTTCAGAGTTCAGTGCCTTAAAAATTCTCTGCCAAAGCAAAGGGTGGAGTGCAGCTGTAGATAGGAGTGCATTATTTATGTCAAATTTGAGGAATACTGTGTAGCTGTATAATAAAAAAAAATGTAATTGCATATTCATATTATAGACAGTTTTTCTACAGGTACCTCCTTCTTTTATGAATAGTCTTCCAGATGCTGGCACAGGGCCATTACAGCTTCCTTTAAGGGCTGAAATCGTGAATGTCTTAATTCAGAGATTTATTTTCAGGTGTGGCTAAATTTTCATTGCCTAGTTGTAAACCCTTTACTTGAGGATCACATTATGAAGCACATCAGTTACGGTGGCCTGACAGCACTTCCCTAAACCAAGAGAGTTTGGATAAAGATGCAGGTTATTTGAGAGGGTGGTACCTGGTTTTGTTCCGAGATCTCTTCCTGCTGTGCTGGGTGGCATCAAAGGACATCAAAACCTCTGTTGACCTTTTTTTTTTTTTTTTTCCTTGAAAAGAACTGATGTTGGTCACTTTAATTTTTTTCCTATGATTGAATGTGTTAATGTGTTTATATTCTTAGCGTTTCATTAGTTTTCAAGAGGATTACTGTACTCCTGTCGAGATAGGTAGTTTTCTCACAGGAACTGGATAAATTATTCATAAGAGAAATTATAGGCCTCAACAATAGGAAATATTTATGAGACTGCTTAAAGAAAAGCTAGTTTCTGCTTTTCTCACATGCTTGGGATATAGCAGTCTCCTAGCCACCCTTCCTGCAAAGATTGGTAAGGAATAAATTTTTTCTTCTTTTTTTTAATTTTTAATTTTTTTTTCCTTTCCTCTGCAGCATTAAAGCTGGGTCCAGAAGCATTCAAATTTGATGGTGGCGTAGAGGCAGTGGCAGTGCGGCAGAATGAGAAGTATTACATCCTAAGACCAGAGGTGATTGAGACCTACTGGTATATGTGGAGATTCACACACGATCCCAAGTACAGACAGTGGGGCTGGGAGGCAACGCAGGTAAATGTATTAATTATCTGTCAGTAAATTAATCCTATGTATTTTCCTTTTGTAGCCACTTTAATCTCGTGGTACTGAAGCACTTCAAATGGTAATTGATTTTCACAAGTTGCTGTAAACCAGGGTACGTATGGGGGTGCGTACAGTTATTCCTGTTTTGCAACTGCTGAATCAGATGCACGGATAAGAAACGTGTTCAGCATTATACAGCTGATGGGTTTTAGGCATGGAAATAGAATCCACTGGTCGTGACTCTTACTGTTATCAGTAGTCCACAGCCCCCAAGAGAGGTAATTTATACTGGGAAATGAAAGCATATTATAAATAACTTTGTTAAGCATGTGTTAGCACTCGGTTTAGGCTAAAAGACAAAGCTATTCTTATGGTTCCTCCTTGGTCAGCTCTTAAAACACAAGTGGTAGGACAGCTGTTCTCAATTGGTTTGTAGACTAGATAGCATCTACATATGTATATGTGGGTTGGTATCACGGCTCTTTCTTTTCTTAGTTGTCTGATTGGAAGCAAAAAAAAAAAAAAAATTGCCAGTTTAGGTTTATTTAATTGTAACAAAAAATTACATCACTAGAAGTAGACCAGAAAGGGAAGTGAAAAAGTAATGGCACATGAGGCAGAATGTAAAAATTGTTGCTACGGTATTTTAGAGATTATTGCTTTTTTTGTACATCTGCTTTCCTGGGTTTATATCTATTTGTTGTATGTTTCAATCAAATTCCCGAGTATGAAAATGCTTCTCAGCGTTTCTCATTGGAAATGCTGATAATGGTATACAGAAGCGCAAATTAATTGTAAGACTCTCAATGCAGGTCTCTGCTCATGGCCTTCCTTCATTCATCCTTTGTACATGGATAACTCCTTTGTCTGATCGTCACAGACTATGGGATATATGAATAACTAGGTTCCATTTTCACATGACAATATAATATTCTAGTTGTAAAAATTATTTATAATCCCAAAAAGACTTCTCCTTTTAAATGTGAGCCTTTTCTGGTCTCATGTTTCTCACTGCTTCCACCTGCTGGTCTGTACTGGGGCCATACAAAACTCATTTGCTGGCCGAAACAGTTTCTTGTCATCTTAAAGATCTGAGCGGCCATTGGATTACTGCAGCTCCTCCACTTCCCTGCTACAGCTCCAGCAGTCCTTGGAAACACAGCTCAAAGCCAGTTTCGTAGATGAGAATAAATATTAAAAACGACAAGACATGAATGAAATATTTTGAGTACAGCCAAAGGAGATGAGGGAAGAGCAAAGGAAAACACGAACCAAGAGCCTGGAGAAACTTTAGTCTGCAGGTGAAAACCAGTTTTGCTCCAGAGGCAAGAGGCCCAGAAAAAGTACTTGGAGCAAGAGATCTCTTGAGAAGCGTGGATCTGTTCATCAGGTGGAAGATAGTTAAGGCAGGTTCGGAATATTTAGCTGAGCTTATCCCTATCCTTCCCTCAGTTTACAGTCATGTAGAAGAGTCCAAGTATTTTAAGACTGTGTCTTAGTCTTGGCTAGGTTTTGCCTTGTAGACTGTTTTGTTATAACCAACATTATGTTATTCTGGAGAGAGGTTCTACATTTGTCACATTTGCATTCCAGAATACGTTGCTGCTCTCTCCAAAACATCAAACATTGAGTCACATCATCCCTTCTGCCCAAACTATGCATGTTTCTAAAATGACAAAGAAATGGATTTAGTAACCTACTCCTTGCCAGTGTGTGTACTACAAATGCTTGCTGATCCAACACCAGCTCCTGTCAGAAGCTATGGCTGGATGATCCAAGCTGAGATTGGGTCCTTTGTACTAGGTTAAAGAATTTATAAATATAAATCTTTCAGGCCAGGATCTGTCTCTTAAGCACACTGCGTGTCTTTGAATTGCATGTTGTTCAGTTTTCTCCATTTGCCTTCATATCTTGGTCCCCATTAATGCTTTCAAAGCAAACCGTCCCTTCTTCCTCCCCCCGCCTCTGTGTGCAGGGTAGGATTTTATTTTATCCTTCTGTCAACCTGCATAAAAGTTGTGTAAGTCAGGCAGCCCATGTGCTTAACTGCCTCTGTCCTTACAGAGTGCCTTTTTTTGCTTGTTTGCTTAATAAAGAGTTCTTTATCCAACATAGCCATAAAATATTTCTGAACTCTTCGTCAATGGTTTTGCATACCCCTCCCTCCCACAGTTACAGATTTTTTTTCCTCCACCATCATACTAACGCAGAAGCTTGGGAAGCTTTTTATTCCCCAGGGTTTTCTGTTCCCTGCATATAGATAATAAGTTCTTGTGTTTAGTCCTCACACCTACTCACTACTTTCGCATCTTCCCTACCACACACAGCTCTGGTTGTGTTTATTCCTCCATTTATAAATAGAGAAGAATCTGGTATGACACACAGAGCAGTTGGCTTGCTGCTCTTGTACAACACTGGCTGTATTCGCTTTCCTTTTGCCTTTCAACCACTGAAGCATACTTTGAAATCTGTATTACAGACTTCTCATGGTGAATGATAGTTTCATCATCAGAAGTCTAGTACGTTTTTTTAAACTTTTGAGGAAACTGAGTTTTGTTTCTGAGTGCTAAATGGTCTTATTTTTCTACACTGAACCTGGTGTAACCTGGTGTTTGACTGAGTTCTTGGTGGTCTCCCTTGTTTACTTCTTTGAATAGATGAATACGTCCCTACCTGAATGGATTTGGGTTAGTTCACCGATATTTTAGAGGCCTGCTTCTGTCATCTTAAGAACTCTTCAGAGATGATCAGGATACATTGCAGAACCACCTGGCTTTTAAGTGTACTGCATTACTTCAGTTTCTTTAGCACTCCCAGCCCCGATATCTCTGTTTTTTATCAATGGGAATTTGCACAGAGGGCTGTGTGTGTATGCCTATCTTTGTACTGTACTTTCTTTATCTATTTCACCATTGGCAGCTTCTTTTTGGCTTTATTATCTGGACTTTTGGACAAAACTTGGGCATTTTAGTGCAGGTGGTGTGCTTTGCCCAAGGCCTCTTTTGTCACATCTCTCCAAATCCAGTGTCTGCGGGGGAAAAAAACAGGAAGTTGAATCTTATATTTCCTCAGTGATCATAAATCCCTGTGACAGGGTCTCTGTCTCTTTCCTAATAAAAAAAGGTTAATTCTCCCTAATACTATACTTGGCACTAGAGACAACATCCATCGCAATTGTATCGGGCCAGCCAAATTGGATGATGATATGCTGGGGGGGCTGGCTGAAGTATTAGAGAAACACACATGCAAGATATTCAGGGTAAATACAGAAAATGACTAAAATCCTTTTTAGGCTAATTATTTGAAAGTAATAAGAGCCACCACTTCACAATAGGCATGTAAAGCCAATTACTAATCTAAGCTGTGTGAATGAAGGGTTCAACTATTTCTTGGGGACTTCCCTATCTGACTAAGTAGGATTGCACCATGGAGGCTGCAGAGTTCGTTCAGAGTTTCTACTTACAATGACAATAATACACGAGACCTCAAGTTTGGGCTAACTTCAGGCAAATTGAGGATTGACAGTAAGATGGAGTGGAAAGACCTATAGCTCTCTTATTAGTGAAACAAAGTAGACAGAAAAGAGCCAGGCATAGGATGGAGGTGAAAGAAACATGGGTTCACAGTTTATGGGTTGGAAGCTGTGAGTACCACAGAGAGATGCTTTGGGGAGGTAAGCTGGGGAAGAGACTGGCACAGTTTTTATGAGCATGCTGTTAGCACAGTCAAGAAGAGTCACACATGCAACCACAAAAACACCCTCAGAGGAACTGAGAGAGCTGGGGTCTGATCTAGAGGCACCTCCAATTTTAGTTCCAAAGAACTCTGACCTCCCTGTATGTCACAGGCTTGGAAATTGCTCTTTGCATCATTTTTGAGTGGAGACACACATATTGGGCAAGAGTACACTATTGCATATTCTTCTGTTCTACTCTTGATTTGAATAAAGGGAACTGGAAAATCCACTTTTGCTAGTGTGTTCTGTTATTTAATTGCTTGTGCTTTCCCATTTGAATTTGTCTAGTTTCAGCTGTCAATCACTGGATTTTCCTATGACTTCCTATATTATATTAAAATGTCTTTTATTCCCTCATGTTTTCTTTCCAAAGAGTTTTCATAGATTGTAATAAGCTTACTATTGAGTCTATTTAAGATGCTAAACAAATTGTATTGTCTCCCACTGTAAAGCATTTTCTGTAAATGTCTGCAGCCACATCAGTTCATCATCCTTTTTTAAAAATGAATTCTGGAATTGCATATTCCTGTTTTGTCTTTATGCACAGCCCTGCACAAAAGTAAAATTATATCCCTGCTACTGTTTACTATCCCTGTGTGTGGACCTGCCACAACATACTAGCAGGAGCTCATACTGGATTGTCTCATGTGGCCACTGAATTCTTTTAAGTGTCTCTACTTTCCAGGCTAATCTGGTTCTGCAGTTATGCAGCCTTTATGTCTAGATTTAGGATTATGTGCCTGGTTATATGAAACTCATTTAGTTTGGGCCCCAGTTACCGCCAGATTGCACTGACTGCTGTTACTTACTTATGTCATTTTTCCCAGCAGCAGTGTTGCAGTGATTGATAAAACTTCAGACCATTCCTTGTGGATTTCTGTGAGAAGCAGCAGCTCTATTTGTTGATGATTTTACATTGCCAGTTCGTTCTTAGAGCACTCTCAGTCAGTTTTAATTTAAGATAGTGATAATGGTATGGTATACTGCTGCTTTGTCTTATCATGAAGTCCTATGGTACCACATAAATTGCTTTAGAAACTTTTATTACACCTGTGCAGTTACCTTTATTTGCCAGTTTGTAGACCTCAAGGAATGAAATCAAGCTTGTGAGCAAGATAGTTTTCTATAAAACCATGCTGATTGGTGTCAATTATCCTCTTATTCTTCTATATTTTTTTACATGTGTTTCTGTAATTTTTTGGGACTAACATCAGGTATGCCATTTTAAGATTATTCAGCCTGTCCATGCCTCGTAATAGTAACATTGCCTTGATACCCTTCCAGTCATCTAGGACTTCCCTGTATTCTAGGGTGCAATAAATTCAGCATCATGTTATCAAGGAAACTGGTCTTCAGCTCTTGAGTGAAAGAGTATCCAAGTGGCAAATCAGATGCCTCTACACAGAGTACTCTGAGATCTGTGTGAAGGCAGAACAAGGCAAATTTCAAGTGCTTTTTAAGCAGCTTGTCTAGAGCATGAAACTTTTCAGACAGTGTCCTAAAGTTCTGTACACCCCTGAATCAAGGAAAATTTGTTTATCCATATTTGGATGAATAGCTGTATAGCAATCTTTCAGAGGAATTTTTCCTCTACAGTTCATGACTACCTGCAGTGTCTAGATCTCTGATTGTGCTGGTTTTGGCTGGGAGAGAGTTAATTTTTTCCATAGTGGCTCATATGGGGCTCTGTTTTGGATTTGTGCTGAAAACAGTGTTGATAACACAGGGATGTTTTCCTTATTGCTGAGCAGTGCTTACATAGGGTCAAGGCCTTTTCCGCCTCTCACCCCACCCCACCAGCGAGCAGGGTGGGGGTGCACAAGGAGTTGGGAGGTGACACAGTTGGGACAGCTGACCCCAACTGACCAGAGGGATATTCCATACCGTATAACGTCATGCTGAGCGTATAAAGCTGGGGGAAGAAGAAGGAAGGGGGGGACGTTTGGAGTTATGGCTTTTTGTTTTCCCAAGTAACTGTTAGGCGTGCTGGAGCCCTGCTTTCCTGGAGATGGCTGAACACCTGCCTGCCAATGGGAGGCAGCGAATGAATTCCTTGTTTTGCTTTGCTTGCTTGCACAGCTTTGGCTTTACCTATTAAACTGTCTTTATCTCAACCTGTGAGTTTTCTCACTTTTACCCTTACAATTCTCTCCCCCATCCCACCGGGGGGTAGTGAGCAAGTAGCTGTGTGGGGCTTCGTTGTAGCTGGGGTTAAACCAGGACACTGATCAACTAGGATAAATCCTCTGCCTATCCTGAACTCCAGTCTAGCCAGAGTCTGCCGCCCCAAGGAGAAATTTCTGAAGATACAAGACTACTTGGTAATTGTAAGGGGGGAAAAAAATCGATATAAATCACACGTTTTCTTTTTTAGGTTTTCAGGCCTGCTCGCTTCAGCAGTGTTGCACTTAGTTATCCAAGCGTGAGACCTCTGCAGCACAGAGCAGGATCTCAGTGCTATCTATTATCTACAGTCTATAGAGTAAACAAGTTGTGTCTCTTATGCTGACTTGCGGTTTTAATTCTTGAGCAGAAAGGAGACAATGTCCTAACAGCAGTACCATTTGTTCCTTCTTTTCATTTTGCCACAATCACTAGCAAGTTTCTGCTGTCTGAGCTGTGGCACACAGTGTCAGGATTGCTGAATCGTTGACCAGAGGAACACCTGCAAGGTCAGAGTCTGCACGCTAGAACTTCTGGCAGGATTGTAACCATTGGAGCTTTTCCGTGCATCTTGCTACGCTCCGGAGCAGAGACAAAGACAAGGTTGTGTTCTGCCGTATTATAACAAAGGGGATAGTGGCAAGAGGAGGCACTTCATTTCCTGCCTAGAAAGCAAAAGTGCTTTGGTTCTTGTTTATTCATGTAACGCCTGCCTAGTGGCGGTAGGACTTGTGGGGAGGAACGTGAAAATGGTTCCATAAACAGCGTATGCATTCTTTCTTAAGAAGTCGGCCAAGCAATTAATTTTTTTTCTTTTCCTTTTTTTTTGTTTGGCTGCCATGTGATAGCTACCATCACTTGTGGTGTGCAAGAGCATGCAGACAAAGAGATTGTCATACGTGTGATGCTGTTGGGCTAGATGTGTCACATACACCTTTCTCTCCAGACTGCAGAGAAAACTTGGTCAACCCAAATTCCAACATGTGAATAGTCTTAGTGTAGCCCTAGCCTGTACCAGTAACCAGCTCTGAAAACAATTCATCCAGACACTTGCTCCTTTTAGGCTCAAGTCCCAACAAAAAAGGGAGCATTTCTATCCGAACTTGGAAAAAGCTCCACTTGAGGTAAGGAATTACAGTGAGAATTAGATTTTGCCAGGAAAGACCGTACCTTTCTTGGCGTAAGCTCAGGCTCTAGAGCCACAGCCATTCCAGTAACATTCTTTTGCCAGACTCTCCTCTTGCTTGTTTAAAAATCTTGGTCTTCAGAAATTTGAAAGAACTTTGTACAGTCTGGATTATTCTTTGGTCCATGAACAACCTCACATTTCTGCAGAGCAAGAGTGTATACTAGGAGGAGGTTAGCTGTAGTACCTGATGTGCTGTGACTTACTGTCCTAGGTACCTTGCTCATTTGTCTTTCCACTTCTCCTCCTGATTTCAGTGATGGCATCTGTCAGTGTTCTTCATGCATGTGTCCAATGGAAAATTCTCCTTTGTTTCCTCATATTTCTAGTATACAAAGGCTATAGTAAGGACCTTGAAGAGTTAATTTTGATTTAATTTGTTTTCTTTGCATAAAAAGGGATATCATTCAAAAGTTATTTGCTCCCCTCCCTTGACTCCCCTCAGCTTCTGTTGAGTATAACTAGCAAAAATCAGAATTAATGAAAACCTGGGCCTAAAGCACCATGCGGAGAGAAACTTCATACAGACTAATGGCTGAATCATAGATTACTGAACTACAGGTAGCTACGTTTGGTAGTTGGCAACGACAGACATCCGGAGCCAAACATTTTCCTTCATCACTGTGCCTTTTCTGTCCCTGCATGAATCTATTAAAAGAGCTGGTGTCTGCTGAGGAAGCACTGCCAAAGCAGCGGGGAAGCACAAATAACCTGTGAATCATTTCAGAGTCATTTCTTTGGGGCTGGTTTTAATGGCTGATATCCTTGTGTGCTGTAAGGTCATGCATGTGAGTGGAATAATGAAAGCGTAGGCGAGAGGTGCTCTGAGCTACTAACACGTTCTTTCCAGTCTCCTCCTCTTCCATTGTGCTTTTTGCAGTACTGCGTTCGAGCTGACTAGCTGGGTGATTTGTGAATCATGGATCCATTGGCCCCTTTCTGCATGGAATGTTTATGGATTTAAACTTCATGGTTTAAAGATAAAGAGCTCTTCTGCAGTCCAGTACACAAGCTGACTTGAGTTTCAACTGTATAAAAGGGAAACAGAGAAGGGCACATGTAGGAGATGGAAGTGTGGGGAGAAAGCAGCAGCTAGAAGACTTTATAAGATGAAATGAACAGTCCCTAAAGATGAGTACAGTATTTTATTCCTACTTTCAGTAAGTCCTTATGAGTAGCTACTAGTCACAGAGTTCCTACCACTCTTCAAACTCTTTCAGCTGCAAAATCCAGGGATGTCTGTCATCTTCCCATGCACCTCATAGCATATAAGGTGTTGACTGATTGATGGATGTTCTAGTGTTACCTATGAGGACCCGTACCAGCTCAGAGCAAAAGTCTACCGAGTCCATGTCGTCATCAATACCAGTCAACAGTAAATACCCAGGAAAGAAAGTATGTTTCCTCAGAATACTTTCTTAGCATCTAGCAGTTTGCCAAATGTGGTGGTGTTAGTAGCCCTGGAGGGATTTTACTTCTGTATGTGTCCGGTCCCTTTTTATTTTTTTGGTCAGCATAAACTGTTAACATCCACAGCATCCTCTGACAAGGAAATTCACAACAGAATGATGCATCATGGAAAGAGCTACCTCCTTTCTTGATCAAGCCTGATCCTTTAATGTTTCTAAATTTTGCTCTACAATTAAATTCTCCTTTTCTTTTCCCTTCCTCTTTGCAGGCAATTGACAAGTATTGCCGAGTCAGTGGTGGCTTTTCTGGTGTCAAGGATGTCTATTCCTCATCTCCTACATATGATGATGTACAGCAGAGCTTTTTCCTTGCTGAAACTTTGAAGTAAGTTCTCTTCCATCTTCCTGTAAAAGGTAGCATCTAAATTGTGGAGGAATGTGGTGGCTCAACAAATAAGCTTGTCTTGTCAGGGTGGTTTATGATTTGGACTTTCTTTTTTTCCCAGCTTTAGGGTCCCAGATCAGCCCATTTTACCAGCAGAAAATACAAGCTGAATTTCCCATACAAGAAGCTTATGCTGAGAGACCTTTAGTTTTTAAGACTTCTATTTGATTTCTGGCATTACAGCAGAGGAGAGGTTATCTCCTTTTAAGAAGTTCTCTTCACAAAAGACATTTTTTTAGATATGCTGACTTGACATGTCTTATACAAGTATGTGCCATGCTCTGATGTTGTAGAACCTGTTTCTCCTGTGTATGTCACTGGAAGGGAGTAAATGCAATGGAAGTCCTTCGTGCTCTTGGATGATTTTTCTGTATTTATCCCACAACATATTTTTCTGGAATGCTTTTTGGTGTAAGCAAGAATATCAGGTGCATTTTATAACCTTTTACTTGAATATTTTCAATTCAGTCAAATCAGTAGGACACCTGTATTCCACCCTGCAGAAGCTAATGCCCTCTGTTGCGTATTTGGTTCAAGGTAAAATGTTCAAAGTCATTGGCCTTCCACCATGGGTTTTTTCAATTAATAACAAAAAAGGCTATACTAGAATATGTCATAACCTCTAACTTACGGAGATGATACATAGAATAAGAAAAACTAGTATAAAGGTAGGAATATGTTATGGGGATTTTATTAGGAGATACATTTTTAAAACTGAGCTAGTGTGTCATGGCTACTCATCTCCTTCATCATTGACACAAACCAGCTATCAAGAGCACTCTTTTGTCACACAGTTTTGATCACTCTGGTGTTTTGCCTATGAAGCAATGTCTTCTAACATGTGACAATTTTCTTGATACTCAAGTTACATCAGCAAATTTGGTAATATAGTTCTGCATTGAAATCTACCAAGATTCCTGTATTGGTTACCTCCCTGAAATCTTGTGAATTGTCTACTTTTGGAAGAAAAGTGTCTGAGTTGGCTATTCCCTACCCCCTTTTTTTTTTTTCCTCCTGTGTAACAGTTTGGAGAACGTTTTAGTTGGTTAAATCCACAGACAGAAGCCACTGCTGGCAGTGTGAATGAGGCCAGAGCTGCTATTAGGAGACGTAGTTGTAGCCACTGCTTACATATCCATACCTCTTTCTGTCAAGGCATGATGGAAGGGATGATACATATGTAGTTGCACAAATCTGTCAGCAATGAAGACTCATTAAGGTGCCCTTTCTGTCTTTACAACCCAGTGATATGACAAAAGCCAGTTGTCTGTGTGACAGTCTAGCACGGCATGCAGGCTTTGCAGAACAAACAAGGTTTCTATACAGCAGCAGAGTTTACAGTATCAGCAATATCAAATTTTCAGGTTTTAGCTGTAGCTGATGTACGTGAAGATTGATTTTATGTATTGGGAGCTCAAAATGCAGCAGGGAGAAAGCAGGTCCTGCAAGTGGTAGTACTGGTGCCTTCTTCAGGCACCACAAAAGGAGCAAAAAGGGGCTCCGAGTTCATCATGTGTAAGGGGAGATTCTGACTGTTCTATCCTTCCGCTGGTTCCTTACCAAATTCCTCTACATAGTCACAATACTTTGTTTCCCCATGTTATCATTATAAAAAGAAAGTCAGCCACTGCTACCTCCTCTGTTGTCTTCATTAATTTTATTTCACTTACTCCTTCAAGTTCATTTTCTGGAGACTAAAAGCTGTACTCCCAAAGGGAGAGGCAGCAGTTTCAAACAGGTCCAGTCAGAGAAGCAATACCTCCCCAGGAGCTGATCGTATATGATTGATCTGCCTATAAAAGCCAAATCAGAGAATGAAATCTGCTCCTAAGGGACTTCTGTGGTGACAAGGCTGACCTTTGAAGTATTGCCAGAATCCTGTCTGAATCTTAAATAATCACAAAGAGATCTGAAAATTCACTGATGCATCCCTCAGTAACTGGATGTGCTATAGTGCAAGCATTGCAAAAGAAGGCAGTTCTAGGAAGAAACTCAGAAATTTTTATTGGCGTTTGGTTTGGATCATTTCTCACTTGCAGGACAAAATGTTTTATTGGAGAGCTGGAATATTAGATGTTTGATGTTGATGCGATTGGCATAGCCAAACCAGAAACTGGTATCACCTTGAGATAAAATAGAAAACATAAGGTCAGGATAGCTCAAATGACTATGAAAATAAAGACAGAAGGGTTGGGTGTAGTGCCATGAGGAAAATTAAGATGTCCCTCAGAAAAGGGGCATAAAATGCGTGTTATGGAATGCCTGCTGTGATCTTCTCTGCTATTGATGATAACTTCTGCATCTTCATTCCCCTCAAATTCAAAATCGATACCTCTCCCAAACATGCATTGTTGCTGCTCGGATACTTTGGCTCATAAAAGACACTCAGCAAATTATAAGAGTTTGGGCAGTATGAGTGGCAAGAAGGTAGCTGTTGAGTGGGAAGGAGCAAGACGTAGAAGTAGGTTGCTTAAGTTATTCAAAGGAAAAGCATGAATCAAATGAGGAAGATTGAGGTGCTGGAGCATGTCCAGAGAAGGGCAACAAAGCTGGTGAAAGGTCTAGAGCACAAGTCTTACTTATGAGGAGCAGCTGAGGGAACTGGGATTGTTCAGCCTGAAGAAGAGGAGGCTGAGGGGAGACCTTACTGCTCTCTACAACTACCTGAAAGGAGGTTCTGGTGAGGTGGGTGTTGGTCTCTTCTCCCAAGTAACTAGTGATAGGATGAGAGGAAATGGCCTCAAGTTGCACCAGGGGAGGTTTAGATTGGATATTAAGAAAAATTTCTTCATGGAAGGAGTGGTCAAACATTGGAACAGGCTGCCCAGAGAGGTGGTGGAGTCACCATCCCTGGAGGTGTTCAAAAAACATGCAGACATGGCACTCTGGCACGTGGTTTAGTAGGCATGGTGGTGTTGGGTTGATGGTCAGACTGATGATCTTAGGGGTCCTTCCAGCTTTAATGATTCTTTTCTAGTTTTACTTTCATTAAAAAATAATGCAGCCACCAAGCCAGGAAACATGAAATTAATTATTACTCTCCCCTTCATTGGTTTATTGGTGGACTTGGTAGTGTTAGGTTAATGGTTGGACTTGAGGATCTTAAAGGTCTTTTCCAACTTAAACAACTCTTTGATTCTCTAAGATGAATTTGAGTAAGATGAAACATTTCTGCTGTGGTGAAAAAGAGTCTGGAGAGCTGCAGAGGGAGAAAGCAAGGTAGGAGTAAGGAAGAAAGGAAAGGCATGACACTTTAAAGACAAATGAAAAATGTAGAGAACGAGACTAGACAGGCAGGACAAAACTGAATCATCTCAGCAATACATTTTTATCTGTAAACAGTTAATTGATGAGGAAGGGAAGAAAAAGTAGAGCTTCACGGACTGGGTTGTGCTGTGGATACAGCTGGCAAATAAAGGCAATGGGAGAATGATTGGGCAGTGACACATGGCTGTAGACAGTAGACACTACCAGCATCTGATTGAGAGAGCGAAGTAACAGCAGCCTCAGCAGAGCAAAGGCAGAACGTGTGTGCGCATTCTGGATGTGACAGAGCCCACTAAAGGGAATGACACCCCTTCCTTGTCATGTGCTGCAAGACCTCTCATTTTCTGGATGGCAGGAAAGCAAGCTGTAGCAGGAGCTGAGACGTCCTGTACACCCATGATGTTATGCTTGCACTTGCACAATCAGGCTTTCTGGAACAAGGGAAATGCCTTTTGAATTTTAGCAATTGAGTTTGGAACCCTTGACAAAGATCCCTACCACCAGTATCTCCTACAAAGTATAGCACAGCCACATTCAAAACTGTGTATTAAGAAAAAGAACCAAGAAATACTCTTCTTCCGTGTATGTCCAGAAACCTTGTTACATGCTTCATTTGCTCTGCACTGCTTTATAATGTACAACATTTATGAATCCCCTTTGCACAATATATTGGCCCATTTCTTCCCACCAGAAGCTGAACCAGCTTCCAGCATGGTGAGGAGAAGTCAGATCTCTGGCATGGCTTAGTGGGTCCTCTTGCGCTTCCTCATAATCTTTGATTTGGATTAAAGAGGATTAGTCGTTTCCAAGTGGGTTTACTCCGTTAAGAAGAATTTTTTGCCAACTTCTTCTCTGCTCCCCTGTCCCCCAGATCCTTGTGCTTGGTGTCTTGATGTTTCTTTTACATTGCAAGTCTTTGAAAGGAGTCTGAAAAAGCAAAAGTTACTTGGAAAGATTAAAATGCTGTCTTTATAACAACTTTTCATTGAAGGGCTTGGTCGTAATAAAAATGACTCTTCAGATCATTATAATAGGGAAGGTTGTGTGGGTGCTATACAAAGATTGAAAGCAAGTAACTTGTTTATAGCTTTAGCTGCTGACTGGTGGAGCCTGAAGCTGCTGTGTTGCCCCTGCCTGTCTGTTGCTCTGCTTTAATACCCACCATTTTTCCTCTCTGTCTTGATATCTAGGTATTTGTATCTGCTTTTCTCCAATGATGACCTTCTACCATTAGACAACTGGGTTTTTAACACAGAAGCTCATCCTCTGCCTGTTTTACATTTAGCCAACACCACGCTGTCAGGAAATCCTGCATATCGATAAAAACAGCTCTATGAAGAGGAAGAGAGACTGCTTTCAGCTCTGTTTTGTTTACATGGACCACTTGAGACTTTAAGCAGGAGAGGAGATAGACACTTGATAAAACTAGACCTCTGAGTCAAGCAAGTACCGGCGTGAGAAACGAAGCTCTTCAACATATAGATAAGTTAAAAGTTCTGTTTTATACATGACCAAAACATGTTAGTGTGGTATTTGCAGGACAGAGACTTTGTGCGCTTTGAACCCTAGCAAGACATGGAATCTACTGCTTATATTAAATGCAGCAGCATAAGGAAGAGGAGGCTTTCCCGTCCAGGGAGAGGAACTTGCTGCTGCTGCTGTTGGCTGTTGCAAGGAAGAATACATCGGTTGGGTTCAGATCGGGTGGGTTCCAAATACCTAGATTTTATTTTTCTTTTTTTTTTTGTGTTTGATGATGGCATGAACAAAGCAACAACAAAAGCAACATCACTGCACCAGCAGCATCAGGATTTGAATTTTTTTCTGTACCTGTCTGAATTTTCTAAGGAGCATCTGTTTGTCCAGACTGGCAGCCATTCTCAGGGCCTCTAAGCTATTAAAACTAAACTCTAAACTATAAAAAATATTGCCTCCTCATTTTCCCTTTTTAGAATAATGTTGAAATATCTGTGTTGTATGCTTACATCCAAAAAAACAACTAGTAAGCATTTGGTTTGTAGTTCACTGTCAGCAACGTGAGCTTAGATCATTTGGCAAGCTACAGTCACAGTCTGGAGCATATCGCAGGGGTAGGAAGGAGCCTAAGTTTCCCTTCCTCACAAATCCTGTCACATGGAAAAAAACATTCTCTTATTAGTCCTGGTCCTTTTAGCTAAATAAACAGAGATGACAATGTAAGAAAACAGTCTCTCATGATATATATAACAGGATACAATACATGGCACTTAAAAATGCTCCCCTTGAGCTAAGCAGCAGGAGTTTGCTGCTTTATATTTTTCCACACAATCGGGCTTTTTCCTAAAAGTTAAATTTCATTCTTTGGATACTATTTATGGAACCCTCTTTGCAGGTTATGTGTGTGACAGAAGCCCAAAGCTGCCTTTGATTTAGTTTACAAAACTCCTTTTCTTCTCAGTGCTCCGGTACAAAGCCAACATGATCTTCTTTGGAAACAACATCTCTTACATATGAGTGGAAAAAGAAACTGAAGAGTCTCTTCTTCCATTAGTTTACAAGAAATGAGATGCTGTTACCTGCATGGTTTATTTTACCCGAGTACTCCTAGGCTGGGCTGGACAGTATCACTTAAATGGAATCTGCTTCAGTCTTCACTTACTTGCTAAAAGAAGTTTTGTCTTTTCAAGTATATCTCAATCTCTTTTTTTTTTTTTTTTCTTTTTTACTGTTGTTCCAGAATCCTTACAGCTCAAATTATTCTTTTTATTTCCCTTTATACCTCTCAAATCCATTTGCCATGGTGACTGGCCCCTTTGCTGAAAAAGAGCTGTGAGGTGCTCCTTTCCCTCCTAATTAGTGCACAGGTGAATCTTTAAAAAAATCTTGATTGTGTTTCTATACTGAAGTGACTTTAAGAACTCTTCAGTGAGCTACAGCAGTACAGCATCAGATCTAAAGGGAGTGAGTGCTATTTCTCCCTCTCAAAAAATGTTTATATATGAAGTTTTATATATAAAAGCTTTTCTCTCCATCATATTTAATACATCCAACTGTACATTATAGTAGCATTTCCCCCATAAAATTTTTCTTCACTCCTTTTTGACACTAACTTAGACACAGAAATCATCACATGATCTAAGAAAAAATACTATCAGATGCTTTTTCCCAGACAGTTACTTTAGTTTAAGACATGGAAGACATAGAGCTTGGAAAAAAACTCCATTCTCAATGTTTTTACCTTCATACCAGTTACTTAGTTACTGTAATTTGTAGCAGTATCTTAAAAATAATTTGAGAATTGATAAAGTAATTGATACAGTAAATAATACTGATTCAAGTAATTGTTTATTTAAAATTAGAAGTAGCTTAATAAATGGATACTTCTTACTGGTCCCACATTAATTTATTTTTCTAATTAGTATTCAGTGACTTACTGAAGAGTTAGTCATTTTCCATTTTCCAAAGTTCAGATCTTTTGTGTTTTCAAATTGAGCTTTTTCCATCCCATGAGAACTGTTATTAGTTTAAAACTGCACTCGATTGCCTTGTTGTCCTAAATCTCACTGGGTACAAAGGAGAAAGAGGAAAAGCAGACTCTTCTGTTTAAAAAGGCACTTTCCACCCCATACGCCTCCTGATAAATGCAGATGTAGAATGGCTGCCAGTCTGTTCAGAGAAAGGTCAAGGACAGAATTCTGGAGTCCCAGAAACAGCAAACTTCTTATCATTGTTTGCTGCTCTTCCACCCCCCTCTTGTGAATTAAAGAGCGACCCTTCAAATTAATTCCTCCATGGATCCCAACGGCTTAACTCACTGCCACAAGAATGCTTGAATTGAGGACCTAAGCCATTTCATGTTATGGGATGGTATTTTTCTCGAAGCAGTTGTACAGTACTGCTATTTCTTCTTTGTGTAGACAAGCAGCAGGTACCAAATAAAGGACGCTTGTTTCTCCTTTTCCAGTTACCCCAACGGCTGTCAGTTTCTACTCTATCACTCTTTAAAATACAAACTATCCTTTTCCTCCAGAAGCTACTGATGTGCATAGTCTATCAAAAATAACGCATTTTATGGACTAATTGCTGTGTCATTCATGAATCTCTCCATCCTGAGATTTCCTAGAGCAAGCTGAGTTTGGAGGTAATGGGTTCTGAGCGAGGTGGGTGCATAATAATCAAGCACCATGGATATTGAAACTTCTGACGTGCCCTCGTTCCGAGTCCTTCACAGAGAAGTAGGTTCTGATCTGCAGAACAGCGTTATGTGCAACCCAAAGTTCAGACTGTTTTCCCTCTGGGTCTGTAAGGTACAGTAGAATATTGCCATTTTCATTCTGTTGCTGCTGTCTTACATACTTTCATGAAGATAGAGTGTAAATTTAAGCACAAAATGACTTTTTAGTCCTAGTTGTTTCCGAGTCTTGCACTGTATTCTCTAACAAAACAATCCTCGTTTTCTTTAGGTAGCTGTCCCATTTTAGCAATTTCTACAATACCCTCTCCTCCTACAGGATGAAATAAAGAACAGAAAGTCATGTATGGTTTTGGCACACTGGATTTGGGCAAGAGCCTGGAAATCCCAGAATTGTCTATTTCCCGTTTGCATGCAGTCAAAACAAGGAAGTTCAGTTCTTTTCCTAATCCAAGCCTCAAGCTTGCCTGTTGGTCAGGATCTGCTAAGAGTACTTTTTTTTTTCTAACACTTAACAGCTTGACTTTTCAAAGCCGCCAGATTTCAGCAGCTTCCATTGACCACCCTGGGGCTCTGTGTGTCCTGCAGTCAAGAAGTCAAGTTCTTAGCTTTGTCCTCTAAATAAAAACAAAACCCTTGAATAGTATTCTGGGTGTTCATTTTTGCTGCACAATATGGTCCTTTAAAATGGAATGCTTAAGAAAAGTATGAAAAATAGTAAGTATGCTGGAGTAAAGGGAAAAGCAGGTAGCTCCCTGTGCCCGTCACACCTCTGAGGTTCCTTTTAGCTCCCTACTCCAAATTTGTGGATCACTGTCTTCTACCTCCCAATCACTGATATAATCCCACCCAGTATTTTACAAGATTTGAATGTTGAGTATCCAGGTTCTGAAAAGTGGATATAATTACACACTCCCTGTAATGCCATCTTTTAAGATTAAAGGTCTACCCTGTGCTGACTTACAGCTAAGCAAAGCCCTATCAGGCTCTCTTTTATGATCTCCTCTTCTGTCCCTCAGGAAGTGATACTACAGACCTTCATAATGTGACTCGTCCTAGTTTGAATGGAGAAGGGGTTAATAGCATTAACATTACAAGGATCAACAATGTAACCTGGCATCCACAGAAAATGGTGAGGCGGTTTACATCTCAGGGCTGTAGTAACAGGCTTTTAGCAAATTGAGCCTGTTACGTACATTAATAAGTCTAGTCCATGTTTTTAAGGGGACAAATAAGAAACAGGCTTCTTGTTACCAGAGAAAAATGAAAGCAAGCTCTTGATCCACACTGTAGTTTGGAGATCTGTTCACCCTGCTAAGACAACCCTCTTTTGCTCCTTGAATTTTGAGAAACAGTCTTCTGACTCAAGAGTTTCAGTTGCCATACAACGAGGAAACCCAACGTCTTTTGCAAGTTATGTGCGTACAACTGTAGCAGGGATGATAAGCACTAGCTGCTTCGGCTGCCAGCCCCTTCTAACAAACTGCTCTGTAATTGCCCAGAAAAGTTGGGAACCACCGAAGTCAAAGGAGTCAGCCTGACTTATTATGGTGAATTGTTGCCTTTAATCCTAATTGCTTGGTGGAAGTTGGATTTGCATTCTGCCTTTATTCTTGCTTTGTCTAAAACTGACAGATTATTTTTGCTCCAAAATAATAAAAGGGCAAAAGTCTACCTTCTGATGTGGAAACCTTCTGCCTCTGACCTGGAATCCTGCATATGTACTTTTTACAGATTAAAAATAATATTGTATATAAAAAAGATTGAATAAAGAATGTCTTTAAGTGAAAAAGGTGCGTTTTGTGTCCCTTACCTCCAATAGCAACCTTCTGTAGCATTGGACTGTGAAGCTGATCCTACTTCATTGGCTTGGTGGTGCTGCAGCTTTTCTGCAGCTCTACTAGGGACTTTGTCAACTTAAACGTGTATCAAGATCCCCCCCTGTTGCAAAATTAAACCCCTGTACCCCTTGCTTGCTTTTAATAGGTCATTGTAGTGTTCAAATTTTTCTCAAGATGTAGCTAAATGTACAACTGTTTGAGGCTGTTTCCTGTGTGCTGTTGTGAAAGCCACCAAATCTCACAAAATTTTGAGATTCCTACCTTTTTGTTAAATTTGTGTCAAAGTGGCTAAAAAGTTCAAAGATTCTTTGATGAGGGTAAAGGGGGCAGGCAGATAAGCAGTGCTACTAAATAAACTTAATTTTCCTAAGACACCAGGTTAAAACTTCAGCTTCTCTTGATACTAAATAGCCAGTGAATTGGGCAATTAAGTCTGTCCATCCATTCCTCTGCCCTCTGTGAAAAGGAAGAAGTTTGTAATTGTTTAAACGTTGTTCACAGGGAAGTTGATATGAGGAAATGGATTCATGTGAACCTATTTTCCCCCTGCACCTTTAAATTCACTGGAACTGCTGCTATAGCTCTCTGTTTTGCAGTACAGCAGATGAATAACCAGATTTGCTTTCTGATTCACATTAACTGTAGATAATCCTTACTGTTTGACATCACCCATGTTGCTCATACGCAGTACCTTGTTTTCATGGCGCGCCACGACCGCCATCCTGTGCGTCTTGTTTCACTGCTTTATATCCAATGCCCAACCTTCCCAGGGTGCTTCTGCCTCAGGATGCAATGACCTCCTTCAGTATTACTTCATAAGA